TTGGAGGAACCCCGACCTTCTCATTTGTTGTATGTCAATGAATAAATCCTTGCCAGCCCCAATTTGAGTTCATGAGGGGAAAAAGCGTTCATAGTTAAGCTTCCTGGAAATCCTTGTGATCATCCCACCAAGGGCAATTTCTCCCGTCTTATGACCCGACTTGATTTCCTCGCAGCACATGACGAACTAGTACCCCATGTTAAGCCACCCTCTTAACTCCTCCCTAGTAGCAACCCACAAAGTAAAGAGCTCTTCATGCGAGAGCTTACTCAAGTCTTGCTTGCTAAACACCGCATACCCTAGAATGCGGTGAAGGATACGGAGCACAGGGTGGATAATTTGGTTGGCCACCGAATACCTAGTGTTAAACTCTTCAAAATCGGTAATCGTTTTCCACCATCGAAATGCATCGTACTCTTGGAATAGGCTCAATGAAGGGGCAAGGAGGTCCGCCTCGAGGTTCAAATCCAACACTGTATTGAGATCACTAAGAGTCATAGTGTGCTGGTTGTTGAATAGTTGGAAGGAAATTTGGAAGTCGTTGTTCCCATAAGGTTCTTTTACAAATGAGGCCAAGAATTCGAAGGTGGGCTCTTTATATGTTCGAAATTGATGCTTGATGAACTCATTCATCCCTAAGTTGTCAAGGAGCGACCTTATGTCATCGTCAATCCCCAAAGCTCTCATGGAGCGTTGATCATAGTGTCTCGAAGGATTTAGCTTTTTTCCTTGAAGGTCATTGAAGAAGGTAGCATGGACCTTGTTCAATAATTTCAATCGAGGGGGAACATTCGGTCCTTGAGCTTAAGTTTGAGTACTAGGTTCCTCAACCCTTAACTGGGACTCCTTTCTACTCTTTCTTTTGTTCTTTGTGGACTTAAGCAATACAAACAACCAAACCAAAAGAGAACTCCCTTCGAACTCAACCAATAATTGAAACACAACAACAACAACCCAAGCCTTAATAATCTGCAAAAAGGTTAGTACCAACAACTAACCACACAAATATAGCTCCAAAAACAACTAGAATCAACTACAAAGCACTCAATCACAATACATTATGATAATAAGCAATTTTCATGAAAATAGTTGCATTATCATCAATACAAACACAAAATTTCTCAACTCAATTCCATAAAAATAGCTTCCAAATCAATAATGTTAACAACAATGTTCTAAAATCACTAAATATCACACTAACAACCAACAAATTCTTAATCACTTGAAACTCACTCAAGCTAAACCATGGTTAATAACTAAAAATTTTGCATAAACAAGTGAAAATAAGCAATAAAATGGCAAAATTTTGAGTTATACCACTTAGTAGAAGCTTGAACACCACTAAGAACCCTCAAGAATACCACCATCAACCAAGCTTGCACACCATAAAAATGGAGGATTTTTTGGTATTTTGGAGAGAGAAAGTGGGTAATATTGTGAGTAGAGTGAATAATTTTGATGGATTTGAAGGAAATTCAATGGAATTTGTGAGAAATGGGTGAAAATAAAGGGTTAGGGTTTGAGTTTGTGAAGAGAGAGAAGAGAGCATGAAATAGGGCTTGCGAAAATATGAGGGTGAAATGGGGAAGAAGAGCTTAAAACTCGATTTTCCCATATCTGCGAGCCCGCACAGGGATCGCGCACTAGGTCGCGCAGACTCACTGCCTCAAATCTTAAATTCTAAGCAAAAGTGTGCTGGTTCTGACAGTGCTTGCGCGCCCGCACATCCTTACCTGCGCGCCTGCACAGAGGTCGCGCACAGGGTTGCGTAAACCTTCTGTCTCAAATCTCCAATTTTGAATAAAAGTGTGCGGGTTCTAAGAGGGCTGCGCGCCCGCACACTTTTCACTGCGCTCCCGCACAGAAGTCACGCACAGGGTAGCGCCGCGAAAACATCAATTTCTTTCTTCTCTCATCTTCGATATATAAAAACCTTTCCTCCTTCATCATCCAAAAACCTATCAACCAAAAGGGGAAAAATAAAATTCAAATTCAAAAAAAAGAAAGTGAAATCGGAATATATATAAATTCAAAAAATTTAGAAAAGAGTTAGAAACTCGGGTTGCCTCCCGAGAAGCGCTTCTTTATGAGGTCACTAGCTTGACCATGAGGAAAATTCTTTAAGGGGGAGGCTTGGGATCCAAAGGATCAAGCATTATACATTCGATGACACCAACTTCTTCCTTGCAAAAGTAATACTTTAAACGATGACCATTGACCATAAACTTGTTGCCTTCCGAATCTAACTCAAAGGAGCCATAAGGAGTAGTCTTCGATATCACAAAGGGGCCCGACCATTTGGACTTGAGTTTACCCGGAAACAAACAAAGCCTTGAGTTGAAAAGAAAAACCTTGTCTCCAACCTTAAAGCTCTTTTTTTGAATATTTTGGTCATGCCACTTTTTAGTCTTCTCCTTATACAACCTTAAGCTCTCATAAGCATCATCTAAGCTCTTCAAGTTCATTGAGCTTAAGCAATCTCTTCTCACCGGCCAACCATAAATCCGTATTGAGTTCTTTAATGGCCCACCAAGCCTTGTATTCTAACTCAACCGGCAAGTGACAAGCCTTTCCATAGACCAACCTATAGGGGGTCGTGCCAATTGGAGTCTTGTACGCCGTCCTAAGAGCCCATAGTGTGTCATCAAGTTTGAGAGACCAATATTTCCTTGATATTTTCACCATCCTTTCAAGAAGATTTTTTCTTTCACGATTCGAGACCTCCACTTGTCCTTGAGTTTGAGGGTGGTAAGGTAATCCAACCTTGTGATGAACGCCATACCTCTTGAGAAGAGCTTCAAATTGCTTTTTGGCGAAATGGGAGCCTCCATCACTAATTAGCACCCTTGGCACCCCAAACCTAGGAAAAATGATCTTTAGAAGCTTAAGTAAAACCTTGTCATCATTGGTAGGTAAGGGTATGGCTTCAATCCATTTCGTCACATAATCAACCACTACCAATATATATAGATTTCCACAAGAAGAAACGAAAGGCCCCATAAAGTCCACTCTCCATACATCATAGGGCTCAACTTCCAAGACATTTTGTTGAGGCGTTTCATCTCTTTTGGTTATGACACCACTCCTTTGACACCTATCACATTGTGAAACGATCTTGTGGGCATCCTTATGCATTGTTGGCCACCACAATAGGGATTGAGAGATTTTTGCCACCGTCTTATCAACACCCCCATGTCCTCCACATGGTAGAGTATGGCAATGCTCAAGAACTCCTTCAATTTCATGATCCGGAACACATTTCCGAAAAAGGCAATCTTCGCATTGTTTGAACAAGTATGGGTCGTTCCAAAAATACCTTCTCACTTCCTTGAAAAACTTCTTCTTTTGCTGAGAAGAAAACTCCAGGGGAGTGAATCCACAAGCAAGATAATTAGCAATGTCTGCATACCAAGGGCTACATGTTGAAGCCATAGCCTTGAGAGCTTCAAATCCTATCTCATCATTGATTGGTACATCATCTTTGTTCTCAAAAGGTATCCTAGTCAAATGATTCGCAACGTAGTTCTCCGCTCCCTTTTTGTTATCATTTCCATATGAAAATCTTGAAGAGAGAGAACCCAACGGATTAGGAGAGGCTTTGCTTCCGTCTTAGTCATGAGATATCACACCGCAATATGTGTCGTGTACATAATCACCTTAGAGCATATAAGATATGACCTAAACTTAACAAAAGCAAAAACAACCGCTAGCATTTCCTTCTCCGTTGTTGTATAGTTCTTTTGAGCTTCTTCAAGAGTCCTACTTTCATAGTAGATGACACATGATTTTCCTTCTTTCTTTTATCCAAGCATGGCACCCACTGCAAAATCACTAGCATCGCAACTTAGCTCAAAAGGCAAGCTCCTATCCGGAGCTTGCACAACGGGAGAGGAAATGAGAGCTTCCTTGAGCTTACGAAATGCTTCAAGGCAAGCCTCATTGAAGTTAAAAGCAACATCTTTTTTGAGTAATTCGGTCAAAGGTTTGGCGATTGATGAAAAGTCTTTGATAAATCTCTGGTAGAAACCGGCATGCCCAAAAAAAGCCTGTACTCCCGTGATAGAAGTAGGAGGGGGCAATTTCTCAATCACCAAAACTTTAGCCGGATCAACCTCAATGCCATTTTTAAAAACTTTATAGCCGAGGAGAATGCCCTCCTCGACCATAAAGTGGCATTTTTCCCAATTCAAAACCAAACTCGTCACTTTTTTAAAAACTTTAAAAAAACAAGTGTCAAGAGACGAGCCACCAGCACTAAAATCATCCATGAAAACTTCAATGTCTTTTTCAAGCATCTTAGAGAAAATAGAGGTCATGCATCTTTGAAAGGTAGAAGGAGCATTACATAAACCGAATGACATTCTTCGGTATGCAATTGTCCCATATGGACATATGAAATTAGTTTTCTCTTGATCGCTTGGATGGATAGGGATTTGGAAGAATCCGGAATACCCATCCAAGAAACAAAAGAAAGAATTTTGAGAGAGCCACTCAAGCATTTGGTCCATGAATGGTAGAGGAAAATGATCTTTATTGGTATTTTTGTTCAATCTCCTATAATCAATACACATTCTCCACTCGGTCACCGTCCGGGTGGAGATTTCCTCTCCTCCTTCACCTTTTATTATGTTCATCCCACCCTTATTTGGAACTACATGAACCGGGCTAACCCATTTGCTATCAGAGATAGCATAGATGATTCCCGCCTCACGTAGTTTCAAAGTTTCTTTCTTCATAACCTCTTGAAGGTTGGGGTTCAACCTTCTTTGAGGTTCAATAGAGGTGGAATCATCGTCTTCAAGATGAATACGATGCATTCATAAAGAAGGGCTAATACCTTTGATATCATCAATGTTATACCCTATCACATCCTTATATTTTCTCAAAACATCAAGAAGTTTTTCCAAATTAAGACCATCTAGGGTAGCATTGACAATAATAGGGTATTTTCCCTCCTTATCATGAAAAACATATTTCAAAGAAGAGGGAAGGGGCTTGAGTTATACCTTGGGAGGAGGCTTAGAACTCTCCTCCAATTTCTCCTCCTTGGACTCAAGCTCGATCTCAACTTGTTGTTTAACCTCCTCCTTTGAGGATTCCTCCATTTCCATGACAAACTCTTTAGGCTCTTTAGAGTGGAACACTTCTTTACATGTAAGAGCTTCTATCATTAGATATTGAGGCCTCATCACGACCCTCCCCAAGCGATCTAGCTCCTCATTCACAACATCAACTCTATAGCATTTTTCAACCATGGAGGTCTTGAGCAACTTAGAAAACTCAAAGACAATCTTCTCATCGGCCACCTCACATGTGATGGTGTTGTTCTTGCAATTGATGACCGCCCCCAATTTTTTAAGAACTTCACGTCCCCAAATCAAAGGAGTGTTAACATCTTCCTCCATATCCATCACTACCAAGTCACAAGGCACGTAGATGTGTCCCACTTGAATTAGAACATCCACAAGCTCTCCACAAGGTAATTTCACCGATCGATTAGCCAGTTGAATTGTCTTCCTTGTAGGGATCATCTCTATATTGAGTTTTTGAGCAATGGATCGAGGGATTAAACTAAAACTGACTCCAAGATCGGCTAAGGCGCCCCTAGCTTCCATGTTCCCAATTTTCACCTGCAAAGTTAATCTTCCCGAGTCTTTTTCCTTCATGGGCATCTTATGTTGCACAAGAGCACTCACTTGATGTGGAAGGGTGATAATCTCATCATTGAGCTTCCTCTTGTTAGTGAGAATATCTCTGAGGAACTTGGAGTAAGATTGAATTTGTGTCACAACTTCATGAAAAGGGAGGTTGATATGCAAATTCTTCATGACACTAAGGAATTTTGTAAACTTGTGATTCAACTTCCTCTCCAAATGCCGACTGGGAAAAGGAACCGGTCCATAAATATTCCTAGCCTCACTAGGAATTAAAGTTGTCTTCTAATTGTCAAGCTTCTTCTTCTCCAAAACTCCTTCAATCTCATCAACCTTTTCTTTCTCGTCTCCCTTGTTTTTATTCACACTCTCCTCTCCTCCCCTCATTTCTTCACTATCCCCTTTATTTAGCCCTTCATAGGAAGTTCCCGACCTCAATGTGATCGCCTTGCATGTATCGATTTTTTTGTGTTGTGAGATGGGTTAGGTTGTGGTTGTCCGGGTAGAGTAGATAGTGAATTGAAAGGAGTTCTCTCGGCCAATTGAGCTAGTTGTGAATCAACCATCTTGTTGTGAGCTCTTATCTCTTGCATTTGTTGCCCAAAAGATTACATTCGCGCATGCATGGCTTGGAGGAGTTGAGTTTGAGTTAGCTCCGCTTGAGGCGCTTGTTCTTAATGATTTCTTTGAGGTGCTTGGGTTTGATTGTTTTATTGGTTGTTCCTTGGATAGCTTCTTCTTAGGTTTTAGGTTTGAGATGGAGGTGGATTTTGATATTGATGGTTGAAGTTGTAGGAAGGTTGAGCTTGTTGGTTCCATTGTTGAGGTTGAGGTACAAACCCGGGTGGTGGTTGTCTCCAAGCTACTCCACCGCAGCTTCCTCTAATTCCCTCTTGCCTTGTGTTGTATGTCGCTACATGCTCGGGGCTTAAACCTCCACAATAAGATGTATCATGGTTCGTTCCTCCACAATTTCTACAAGAGAAAGAGTCAACTTGAGAGGAGCTTTTCATTCACACTCGTGTTCAACTTGGAAAGCCCTTTTTTTAGTTGATCAATTTGATGTTGTAATTGATCAACTTTCTCCAATTCGTAAATACCACCTTTCTTTGGAGCATTTCTTCTTCGGCCCCCCCAAGAGTAATTCTTTGCTACCTCTTCTATTGTTGCTTCAACTTTATTTTGAGGGATTTTGATTCATTGACCACCCGCCCCCGCATCCAAATTGACTCTTGACATGGGCTCCAATCCATCGTAGAAAAACCGCATGAGCAACCCTTGATTGTACTCATGGTGGGGACACGTTTGTACCAACTCTTTGATTCCCTCCCATGCTTCACCAAGACTTTCATCGGCTTCTTGATCAAATGATGCGATTTTCCCTCTCATTTTGGTGGTTTTCTCCTCGGAGTTCAATCGCTTCAAGAACGCCTTTACCACCTCCCTCCATGTTGTGAGAGTGTTTGGCTTTACTTGTTTTAGCCATTTCTTTGCTCGTCCGGTGAGAGATTGTCGGAAAAGGTGCATACAAATGTAGTATTTACTCACTTCATTGGTTTGCATCATTGTGCACAATTCAAGGAATCGGTCCAAATGATCAATAGGGTCCTCACTTGCACTTCTGGAAAATTTCTCCGATTGTACAATTCTAGTATATTGTGGATGGATTGAGAAGTTGTTTCCGTGACGGGTAGCAAAATCCCTCCCATGAGCTCATAATCCTCCGGATTTCCGAACTCACGAAACAAAACATCATTTTCTTGTCCCGCCATTGATCCGCTTTGTGAACTTGAAGAGTAAGTATCACTCTCACTATCAACTATATCACCAAAACCTCTTCCCTCGTCTTGATAAAGCCTACGGACTTGTCTTAAGGTTCGGTTGATCTTGTGGTCAATTTTATGTGAGGGTGCTCATTGAGATCTCCTAAGAATTCACAAAAGCTAAGAAAACAATTAGCAATGAAAAGGATGATAAAAAAAATAAAACAAAAAGAAAAGAAAGTAAAATGACTCAAAGAAAAGCAAAAGTAGACGCTAAACAAGCCGCTTCCCCGGCAACGGTGCCAAAATATGATCAAGGGTTAGATAGGTCGTTAAACTACTACCCTAATCGAATTAATCATTTATATACCTAAACCACTCTAATACAAATATAGGTGCAAGTAAAGGGTCAAACCAGTAAGGAAGCTCACTCATTCAACATCAATTTTCACTAATGCAAGAGTAAGGGGAATGTTTTTGTTGGTTTTTGAATAAAGAGCACTAAAACTACAAATAAGCAAAGATAATGATGATTAAAATCAAGAGAGACGACGCTAGGTATACGGGGGTGTTCAATATGATTAGAAAGAGGGGAATAATGGTGATTATCATGAAACACATGCCAAAGAACACAAGATTCTACCTAAACAATTTAGTCTCATGCAATAGTATAGGCAAATCAATAAAAGAGGTCTACACCAATAAGGATCATTCTCATGAATCCTATTAGTTACAATCAAACCAAGAGAATAAAGAAGCACAATCCATAAAAACTCCACTTTAATAACTCAATCTCATGCAGTCATTAAAATAAAGATGATCTTAATCTAGTTCAAATCACTTTCATGCATTTAAACTAGAAAACATCAAATAGAGTGCAGCAATAATCTCAAGCTATTAAAAATCATGTCTTTCATCAATTTATGGCATAAGCTCAATCCAACCATCATCATTCATCCAATATCAACTCATATCTTCAACCCCCTTCCCCTAGCTAAAAGTTTATCTTAGAGAAAGGAGATTAAACATAATATCAAGACTAGAATTAAACTCAAGAATCTCAAAACAAAACATGATTAAAATCAATGAAATCAATAACAACAAGATGAATTATTAAGATTAACAAGAATAAGCAAAAAATAAATAAAACTAAAGGAAAGGAGAAGAGATTACTAAAGAAAGGATTAATGAAAGATGAAAACTTGGATTCTTGCTTGATTGGTTGAAGATTAAAACTTGAGTAAAGTTAAATACAATAAAGGATGCTTTAATAACAATCTACTTTCTCTCTCCAGATTAGGCTAATATTCTATGGAATTAGTACTAAGTGTCCTTCATTACAAAGAGTCCCGTCTATATATATGTGGCTCCCCCAAAATAAAGAAACTTGAGTAACAAGGCGCACAGAAATCAGAAACCCAGCGGTGCGCGCCCGCACACGAAACATGCGCGCCCGCGCAGTAGTAGTGTGCGCCCTCTCAGCATACTGCGCGGCCGCAACTTTGATGGTACGAGGAAATCAAGTGCGCCCGTACAATAAACTTGCGCCCGCGCAGCAGGTCGCATGCCCGAATAGAGGCCGCACAAACTCTCTAGTTTGGCTCTGTTTCTTCAGCTTGGCTGCGCGGGTTGTGACAGGGTTGTGCGCTCGCAGAGCCAAGGGTGCGCGCCCTTGCAATAGCCGCACAGTAGCCCGCGCAGAACAGTTTGCTTGGCTCCTTAAAATCCTCTTTCTTTCGGCTCTTGATACCTACAAAACACAAGCATGGAAATCAAAATAAAGAGAAGGTAAGACTAAGAAAAAGGAAGACAAAGGAGAATGGAAAGGAGGTAACAGAACTAAGTAAAAATGCTGAGAAAAGGGTCAAACAAGTGCAAATGAGGGGAGAATCCTTAGAGAAAAAGGATAAAAGAGTGGCATAAATGCCACTCATCAGTATTTGAAAGAGAGAAAGAAATTCGAAATTTTTTCACATGGGAGGTATTTATGGTATTAAGGGGGTAGATCTTGACATAGATTTTATTCATACTACATTAGAATATTGGGGTACAGATACACATTGCTTTAAACTGGATTGTGTTGAAATTAGCCCTTTACCGGAAGAATTTTGTGCCATCATAGGCTTCCCTTCATTAGATCTTGCGGTAATCCCTAGTGTGAATGATTATTTTTATAAAGATTTTGTGCGCTTCTTTAATTTAAAAGAAAGAGATCTAACAAATATTTTAGATGGTAGCGTAGTTAATCTAAAAGAATTGCCACTACTTTGATAGACCGTATTCTGAGTCTTTTTATGTTTATAGAAGAAGGGTTTTTCTCTTTTGCATGCTCAACTAATATCTTCTTACTAGCAGTAGAAATAATGAGGGTCAAGCAATCATATTATCTGTTTTGGAGCAAATTGAATCTGGAAGGAATCCAATGCCATTAATTGTTGGAGAGACTATGCTTAGTCTAGATGAATTAAAGAAAAATCAAAAAACACCTTTTCGGGGCTCTCTAATTTTATTACAGGTAGAAAAATAATATTTTTAATTGCAGAAATCAAAAAAATATTTTTGTATAGTAATAATAATTATTTGCATTGAATCTTTTTGCAGATGTGGCTAATTGAGAGACTATAATTAATTAGTCCTCTTGACAATATTCAAAAATACACTCCAAATTTTTTTGTAAGGCGAAAGAAATGTTTCTCTAAGATGGGTCGCCATGAGTGGAGTAAATTTTTTGCCTCTTGCAACACTGCTATCAAGTGGGTCGTCCCATGGTGGAAAATTGAGAAGATTGTTAGTGTCAACAAGAAACCCTTCTGTCGTACAGTCTACTTCAAACAATTCCTTCAGGGGAACTCCGCCGTCCCTATGAATTCCCTGTTTCACAAGAGGTAGAGAAGTTTGACACATATTGGAGCGCTAGGATTTTATGGGAGGTGATTACCTAAAAGGTTCCTCCTTCTTTGCCCAATGATGTGAAGAATTGGCTTCTTAATAAGCCTAAAAAGGACATGAAGTAAAATCAAAGTAGAACCAATGTGAAGAACCGTCTAGGTGAAAAAGTAATTCATGTTAAGGAACGCTTGGGTGAAAAAGTTCAATTTAAAACACTTGTAATGCCTAAGAAGAAAGACACTACTAAGGGTAAACAGAAAAGAAAAGCTGACACTTAAGAAAAGAAAGCTTGGGTAGAAAAGAAACATGGAGTCCTAGCTAAGGGAGAAACCATTTAATCTAAAATTGAATGTAGGTCCTCTAAAGGATGCCTACTAACTAAAGTCATGGATAATGAAGAGGATACAGACAAAAATTGGAAAAGAGCAAAGAAAGAGAAGAAAGATTGAAGCATTGCTTAACTTCCAATTTATTAGACTAGTTCAAATTTTAAGTTAATTTATTTTATTAATCTTTTATTTA